CTATATATTATATACGATCAATAATATTGTATAGTCTTGTTCAGCTGTAACTGGCTCTCTTCCAAAACCCAACTGGCTCGCAGCCTTTTTGCTCTGATGCGATCCTTGCTGTGGAAATCCGACAGCACTGGAAGTGCCAAGCTTAGCCCGCCAACACACAGTTTCATGTGCTTGGAAACCCCAAAATATCCTAATACATTTTGGCTCAACTGGAAGATCTTTGAAAGATCAGACATTAAAAATGTGTTGGAGTAACATCAAGTCCCATCAAGCCAATTAGACGATATCAAGCTATCAGATCGGCAGCTTTCAGAAGACGGATCACAGCAGGATGGTCTTGTGGTCCCGACTTCTCAGCCCACCTGGGTTGATAGGAGGTAGTGGGATACAATTTCAAAACAAACCATGCGTCATGAATGTACAGATTTGGGGTCCTTATGATTTTGACAAGCCACTCCAAGCGTGCTTCGTTGGCCAACCTTTGACACTCCTGCGCGGGCTTGCCCTTGCTCTTTGCAGCCTTGTGCGCGCTGGAGTATACCTCAGTCAGTATGAAGTTTAGGGGTGTGGGGCTGAGCATACTCATAGATTCTGAAAATCACAACCCCCAGAAAGAAACATTCAACAGGCTAGACGCTGAGTGCAACTTCTTCTCAACCTCATCCTTCTCTTTGGCCACACCCCTGCTAGGCGCAGGCATACTGTTTTGGGAAGGTGCTGCTCTGTCTTTGGCTTCCGCCTTGGTCTTCGAAGTCTGCACCTTATCTGCCTTGGTCTTCTGATTCTGCCGTGCCACCTTTCCTGACCCACCCCCCTGGCTCTGCCTGAAGCTTCCTGCTCCGCACAGGTGTGGGGATCGGGGCCGACAACAGGCAATCACTTTCCGGGTGATCACTTTCAGCCCCTAATTTTCCTTTCTGAGAAAGATCTAAGCTCTCCTCAGCAGCAAGCTTAGGCACAGAATCAGACACCGTGCCATCATTTGCCATGGCCACTAAATCAACCTGTACATCATTAGCGCACGCACCATCATTGCGATGATCCTGGGGAGCATGGAAACGAGATTAAAGGGAACATGACGAAGCCCTACCAATACATCTTTGATGGTATGTAGATTATGGACCGATGATCCCCCTTTTATGTTTGCAATGATCTACTGACTGTGGGCTGCAACGTTAAGGAGTCATTGAGTCAATGGTGAGACATTCAAACATGGCCGAGGTAAACAGCATGGCCTCCATGTCCCCGGCTTGCTCATCGAGATCATCAAGGACCGATGGGAAATGCTCAGACGCATTCATCCGGCGCAGGCGCTTGCCCCCTTCTCGCAATTGGTCGACCTTCATCAGGATTCCAATTTTATTCGAGGAGGTTTTTGGCTTGTGAATGTTGTTTAGAAGTTTAAAGTTTATAGTTTACACGGTTATTCTTTGAAACTCACTGACTCTTTGCAGCTCAAAGGCATCCTGAGCACCGGGTTTGTCATCATACTCGGCTGTGTTTGTCAGCATAGTGTCCTGATCAAAGTCTCCCCATCCAAAACAGTAACACATAGCAACACCAAGACTTAGCTGACGGTTGCTGTTGCAAGAAGTCCTTTGATGGAGGAACCTCACCAAAGTATGATGGAGACAGTCCCAGCTGGTTGTCAGGAACAGGCGAAGGTGAGACTTCCTCCGTCAGTGCATGACAATCATCTTCCAAAGATGCCTGCAGGTAGAAATCAAGCCTGAATCCAACAGGAACGCAAACACACCACATAGATATGACTGAGAATTGAGAAGAAACATGATTGAGATGATCCTGTCCAAAAGCCCAGGAACTCATCAGGCAAAACATACTCTTGGGTCGGGTAAGGAAGGTCATGGCCAGGTACATCCCATTCAGGATCGTGCATCCTGTGCAGAAGGCAGCAACAACAACAACAAATAACAACCAACAACCAACAACAACAACAAACAACAACAAACAACAACAAACAACAACAAACAACAAACAACACACAACACAACAACAACAACAACAACAACAACAACAACAACAACAACAACAAC